CTCGGATTGGTAAGTGCCCCTAACTGGAAAACCTAAAACCTTGCCCGGGATAACCGGAGGGAACTGACCAGTGATGTCCGGCAGCCCTTTCGGCCCCAGACAAGGGGGGGACCACACCCCGCCTAGGTCTTTAAGGCCACAGCAAACCCCGACTGGTTTTCCCTTCCCTTGGCCGTCAGGTATTTCAAGTCTGCTCCCGCCTGCCGTCCGGTTTTGGGCATCCTCTTCGCTAAAAATCCTGGTACCAGGTTGCCCTCAACCTCCTCGATTCTCCAGGAGAATCGTGGGTTGTAATAACATTTTGTGACAACAGGCTTTATTGCAACCTCCTCATATCCTAACAGCCGGCTGTCCAGGGGACGCTCTGCTCAGCCTCAGCTGTTAAAATGGGAAACTCGTCATCCCTGCCGGCTGACTCTCCTCTCAAATGCCTCTTAAACAACCTCTCCACTCTCTCTCTCACTCCCGACATTAAACCCAAGCGTTTAATTCACTTCAGTACCCAAGATTGGCCCTATCACTTAAACAACCAAAATAAGTGGCCCCTACGGGTCCCTAAACCCCGACATTATACGGGACCTCTATAACTTCTACGAGCGTTCAAAAAGGTGGGCAGAGATTCCCCTCCCTCCCCCGTCCTGCTTATGCTGCCACCTCTCTCCTCCGTCTCTAACTTCAACCCAGCAGATAAACCTCACACAGAAACCTAATAAAGACCCAGCCTCTCTCCTTTCATTTAACAAAAACTCTTACCCTTCACACTCGTTTGGACCCTTCCTCACCGCCGGGGTCCACAGTCTTAGCTACCCACTTTATCACCCAGTCCACTCCGGACATGCGGCACAAGCTTAAAAAGGCGGAGGAGGGTCCCCAGACTCCACTCCGAGACCTGGTGAATATGGCCTTTAAAGTTTATAATGCCGGAGAGGAGGAAGCCGAGGCTGTGCGGGCCCAGAGGCTAAAACAGAAAGTGGCCCTTCAAACCCAAGCCCTGGTCGCTGCCCTGTGGCCAGCTCAACAGGGGCCTCAAAGCCCCCGTCCCAGGAAACAATCCGAGACCCAAACACCTTTGGGAGCCTGCTTCAGGAGTAGCCAGGAAGGCCACTGGGCAGAACAATGCCCAACCCGGTCTGCAGACAAAAGGGACATTGGAAGTTTGAGTGTCCCCTGGGGGAAAACCATCCCCCGGCAATAGAGTTTTGCAGGGGACTGGCTCCCCCAACGGGCCCCTCGCCAAAGCTCCTGGGGCCCCTGGATGACTAAAGCCGCCTGGACTCGAACACCCCAATCACCCTTGCCGAGCCCAGGGCCACAATATGGGCAGCGGGTAAGTCCATCTCCCTTTTGGTGGACACGAGGGCTACCTATTCTGTTTTACTCTCCTTCCACGGGCCTGTACGTCCTTCTCAGGTCTCGGTTGTGGGCGTCTCGGGGGTGCCCTCCAAGCCGCTGGAGACGGGTCCGGTGTCCTGCCTTTTGAAGGC